TTTGGAGATAGGCATTCGCCGCCCAGATCATGCGATTTAACGCTTTTCGACTTTTTTTGGTTTTTTAAAATTCGCAAGTTTATGTTTATGTACAACAACGATTGAAGCCATAAAAGATGAAATTCAACTCCGTAGGTCTGTAATACCGCAAAATTTATGCGCAACAGACGCAGAGTCCTTGAAAATTTGATGAAAAGTCTGTGCCAGCAAAGCCAAGGCTGTCATTTGCCCGATGTCTTCATGATTCATACCATTCATAACCTTATGATGTGTGCTTCATTTTTCAATACATGTTTCAAACTTATGTCACAAATATATATGTTTTATTTAAAATTTAAATCATAAATTTATACTTAATATAATAATTTAAATAAATATTGGAAAACCCTCTATCAAGCTAAAAATTTGTTAAAAATACACTTGTTTTAATTAAATATTGCCCCTGTTTGAAGGCATGGAATAGACGCTAATAAGTAAAACAAATCTGATCGTGAGGAAATCTCCTTTCCGTACTTGATTGCGTCGTTCGACCATTCGTCGATCGATATGTTGCGGGTCGTTCAATCAACTGCAAGTATAATAGACTGCGGTAAGTTATCAGTTCTACCACTCGATAGGTAAATTGCTGTGTAATAAGTTTGAAAATCCCACACAATTCGACAACAATGGCACATAAAAAACAGGATGATTTAAAAGTGGCGGTATTTATCTGGGATATGCTTAAGGAGCACAGAAAAACTAGTCAACACAAACGATTTTCATAAAAAACTGAAATATTCGTAAAATTTAAATCATAAACTTAGCAACAATTTATTGATAGTTCATAAAATAGATCGCAGATGCTGATGACGTTTCTCTCATTAACATTGCGTGATTTGTTTATTTATATGTGAATGGTGTTTTCGAGTTTATTTATATGTGAATGGTTTATATGCAAATCACAAAGGTAACCAGTCCGAAACTAAAAAATAACTATAAAAAAAAATTTAGAGGATGGACCCCAAAAAACGTTTCAAAATCTGGCTGATCAATTAAGTTCTTCAAGCAATTATATAAATACATGAAGATCAATTGCCTAATCGCGTTACATGAGCTTTATCAGCAAAATACACAAGTTCACTTAATAGCAGTTATAATTGATGAATAAACACTTGATTTACACTTCTTCCAGAAATTCGAGTCCGCGGTAAAGGAAAATGTGTTTTTTGTTTTTACCAAACTCAAAATGTCCAAAATCCAATCTCAGTGCAATGACATTAGCAACCAGCTGTAGTTGTGCAGACAAATTTTATTGTTAGCTTTAATAAATAAACACGTTTCCGCGCGTTTCTTATGTGGAAGACTGGGTCTATTTAAAGTTTCCAACAGGAAGGCAAACGTGAGGCGTTTTCGACATTGATATACATTTTAAGCGTTAAAGAACATATCAATAAAACTAACCACAAACACGCGAGCTGTAATGCAAACATGTTCGTCGCCCAACATTAGGATGTACCCCTTGTATTTCCAAAACGAAATTTTGACTAATTTAAAGACATTTTTGCAATAATTTACTTGAAATGTTTAACCATATTAATGGTTTGCCAAATTGTCATTGATTGCACTACTATAGCACATTGCTTGTTAGCAAAGTTGAGAGTGAAGTTTCAAGAAAGTAACTCAATTTTAAAACTATTGTTAAGCCTCAGGGGCCCCTTAAAATAGAAGACGCCGACTGTAAATTGTGCCATATTATTGAGTCGTGAACTGAGCGATGATTATTTGCCGATAACTTTCTTTAAGCAGAACAATGTTGAATAAGGCTCTAAACCATTACGTTCGAAACAGGTCCTTGCTAGTGGCAGAGCCAAAAATATTTATAGGTTTCTTACTCCAATTTTATATAAAAAATTGTCTACCACTTGCGATAGATAATGATTGTTTGGGTATATCGCAATTCATTGTTTTTATTCTCTAAAATTCCATTTATATGGCACGATGATGTGCAAAAGTTGTGCTAATAAGCTTAAAAACAAGTTGAACGGCATTGTCATGACATCACATTCACGCAAGGAAGAAACTATCATTGCTTCTTTAATCAGCCATTCTAAAAGTACCATTTATTTTGAAATGTGGACTTCTATATTTTGATCAAAATCACCATACCGCTTAGAAGTTGTCGAGAATGCGTAATTAAATCCTTTTTTGCGAAAAATGTATTAGAGAGTTTTTAACATGATTGTTTAGCTAAGGAAGGCGTGCCTGAAGCTGGTTCCGGATAGCAAAACCGCAAGTCCAAAAACGGATGGAAGAAGGCTGAAGAAGAAGTACAGAAACCTAACTTCGCCTAATTTTTTTTGAGCCTTTCGCTCAGTTTGAATTGGGTTTGAGCTCTTCAAAGTTCACGAACCGGTGTTCGGAAGATCAGAGAATTAATGTATTCTGGTGTCCTGTGCATATTACATACATGGCAGGAATTGAGGCCCTTCCTCGGGGGAGTTATCGGGACAATTAAGTATCCAGTGTTGGGGAAAGTGCAGTTGTTGTGCAATGCTTCAAGTACTCATGGAAGGCTCAGCTGCAATAATCTCCAATACCTGTTCCTCTAGGTCTGGAACCCGAGCACCTTTAGATTGTCCACTATCTGCGTCCATTTCGGGCCACTCGTCCAGTGTGTAGCTCTTTGCTTGTGAAGTTCTTACAGCTTTTGCTAAGTTACTGTGGCATTTTCCCATAACTAATCGCATATTTGCAAATTCGCTTTTGTTTTACATTTTGTGAAAGGATCTTTAAAATAAGCCACAGTTTGACATATGCTTGTTATTATTGACAAGGGCTGTCTACCTGTAACTATCTGTTAATGACAAAAAACATTATTCCTTCTGTGCCTTTTCATCAACAAATTGTAGAAGAGTACTTTTTAAAAATCAAAAATCTTCTTAATTTGACAAAAAGATTGTAATTTTTATTTTCGAATGCTTAAATATTCCAATAGGCAACCAATCAAAACGTGAAACGTTTTCAACATAATGCTTAATAACAAATTTGAAATTCGATCTTCAAATGTTAATATCTTCTTGAAATTTTGGAAAAAAAATTTTTCAATATTTTTCTCAAACTCTCTAAGTGGGCCTCTATCTTAAAAGGATTGACGCTAATTTTGAATCATCCTGTACGAGCCCACAATAACCCACATTGTAGTCAAAAAACAAATTACAGGTTTTAAAGATTATTTACACTATACGAACATGTAGTTCGTTATGAAATACAAAAGAAGACTCAAATGAATAAAGCAAGAATAATTTAAATAATCATGTAAATAAACAATTTACTACAAAATAACTGATTGACTGGATAATAGTCAACAAATTGAACTTTATTTAATAGATTGATAGAAAAGGTTGAATGTAAGTAAAATATTCTGCACCTGTATACGATTTTCCCGGATATGTGTTCTGGAAATCTGTTCTAATACGGAACAAAATCAATTAGATTTAACAGAATTTGCTCACACTTTGCAATTCTCTCACATTATCGTTCGCGGTTCAATCGATCAAAGACACAGAGCGAGAATGTAAGAGTAAGACATCACGTAATATGGCGAAGACTTACTAAATTATGGAAAGGGTTTAGGTAGAATTTCGATTTTCCCCAACTTATTGATATTTGCTAACACACTTGCTAACAGATTTTTTCTAGGTTTGGCGAATGCAAAATAATGTCGTGAAAAGTGGACATACCTTTATAATATGGATGCAGTAATATCATTTAATCCTTTATTATAGCTTATTGTTTAAATGATACGTGTTTAGTTGCTGGGGTTTAAAGATCAATACATGGCGGCCCAAAATAAAGCATTTTTTTTTTTCACGAGCCAAGGTTCTCTTTTTTAACTATCCGCAAATGCCTTAAATAAAGTTAAAATTTTGTCCCAAGAAAAATTCAGTTCTATTCTCTGCCGCTGAGTTGAGCGATAAACTCAAACAAGTAAACAGGAATATTTTACCAACTTTATCAATTTGGTTCAATTTTGAAACATTCAACATAACACACCAGACGAAACTTACGGCCAGTTCAAATTCCCAATAAATTGATTACGGTAATTGCCTATACATGCTTATTAAAAAAATTGGTTTTACGCAAATCTAATACAAACGGGACACTAGTGTGGGCACCAAATATTTTAAACCAAAAACGGCCGAATGAGGATGAATATTATATTATTTTTAAGCACCGCAATTAATGAACACAATAAATGATCTGTCAGCGAATTAAAATTTGCTGCATTTACCTTTACGATAAACTCAATTTAATTTCAACTGAATCTACATTCATCCCCAAACCAAACAAACTCTAATCTGAACTAGTCGCTGAACATGTTCAATTGTGGATAATATGAGAATCACAGTAAACATGCAATGCGGCCTGTGACGTATAGACAGGATTAATGAAACGAACATTGTTTCTATAATTAACCAATGAACAACCAAATTTTGCTTTATCGTTGACTTTTTAAATATAAAAAGCATTAATTCATATTTTCTAATTCACATTCATAATCATAAGTGTGCACTTTTCCCGACTTTAACCGAAAGAGCATTTGACGAAGTTCAATAAGCCACCAACGTATGACGAATAATAGGAGTTTCCTGATAGAATTTGTACAAAATTTTCTATTGCATATCTGAAATAAATGGAAATCGCACTGTTTAATTTGCAAGCAGCAACGTGCATATTAAATAAAAACCAAACCAAAGTGTCAATATTTGGGGTCAACCCAAAGCAAAATTCACCAAAGTAATGTGGCAAAGAGCAAAGTTTAAGTCGATAGCAGAATCATGTATGCTTAAAATATATATCACTCTCCACTGAAAATCAAGCCAAAATTAACGTTTCCATTATTTTGATGAATCATGAAATAGTGAGATTAGTTTTATATATAAACCTTGCCTTGAGGTATTAGTGCCAAGGCTGTCTTAGCTATTAAGGTGCACGTGCTGAAGAGTCACAAAAAAATTAACCTGAGAAATCTGCGTCCGAACTTGCACTCCAGCTGGCCATGTTCTTCTAAACTCCTAGTAAAAAAATACAAACTTATATTATCAGTTATACGCATATAATATAGGGTTTCTCACTAAAATGAAAAATTTATCTTGAACATTTCCTTTTCTGTTAATAATATTTTCTAGATAAATCTTGCTAATGCTCCTAGTAATCAATTATACTTTCCTGTATAAAGTTACTACATTTACAAATGAAGAATTTGTATATCTATTGAAATTGGCAGAAAGGCTCCATATGAAAAAAACTTTAAAAAATTATAAATCTAAAGTGTAAATCTACTCTTATACCTACATATCTCAAATAAGTCAAATGAAAATGGTTAAAAAAACAGATTGAAATGTTACACAGAAGGATAGTTAATACCCAAATACCACAAAATATTACATAAATATTTACTAAATATTTAAATATTTGGTAAAAATTTCATATTAAAAGGAAATATTTTTTAAATGTTATTTAAAAAATATTTGTATTTAATATTTAATTAGCATGAAACAAATAAATTAATAATATTGTTTCTTAGTACATAATACTTTTTGTACGTATACAGGGTGATTCACGGTCGATGGTGTATTAGAGGTTTAAGGAGAACACTATGCACGATCTACCTGCAAATTTGTATAACGAAGTGACCGGACATGTTCTATCGACCTCAAATATTTTCAAAAATGCGAAGTTGTCACTAATACCGAAACGTACATATAATTTTCCATTTTAAATGAGACACCCTGTATGTTATTGCACGGATGTATTGGCGATATAGATCTGATTATTTATGAATAACGATTTATATATCGATCTAAAGCGGATTCCAAAATATTTTATAAAATTCATTATTTTTAATCAAAACGTAGCCCCAAATAATCTTGTATTACAACGCGATTTCGATCCCTGTAAATTTGAAATTTTGGTACTGGGTTCGGAAAACCCTATGCTTGAGCCCGGCGTACAGCAGATATCTTGAAAATACTGACCTTTCGGATAGAGATAAAAACTGCTCCAATCACATTTTTTCAAAAAGAACACCCTGTATATTAGTTCAAATACGGGAAGACCGTTAAATTCCTTCCGGTACATGGGTACCGGTACATAATGTGAACTAATACGAATGTTGACGGCTTCGGTCGATTCTATCGATACGAAGTGAACGAATCTCTTGGTACGAATCTTTGCTTGATACGAACCTGTGTGGTACGAATCACTAAAAAGATTCGAATCGCCCACCTCTACCGCAGATGATTTGAGCTTAGCCTATAGTGCCATTGAAAGGATCCTGATCAAGCATGTATCCGTACAAGTTTACGAAAATTCGATTTTCTTTTAGAACTTTATGAAGAATTGCAAAATCTTCAACTATTACGACATTTGATAAATACGTCGACATAATCGAATTTTTGCAAAAATGTCCATTTATTTCGTCAATTTCACACTTTAGGTATAGAAACATCATATATCGTTGCACAGGGAATTTAACGGTCTTCCCGTATTTTAACTAATATACAGGGTGTTATGTTTGAAAAAATGTAATTGGAACAGTTTTTATCTCTGGCCGAAAGGTCAGTATTTTCGAGACATCCGGTATAATTTGAAACAAATTGCTATACGCCGTACTCAAGCATAGGGTTTTCCTAACGCCGTACCACAATTTTAAATTTCCAGATAACGAAATCGCGCTGTAATACAAGATTCTTTGGGGCTACGTTTTGGTTAAAAATAATTAATTTTATTTAATATTTCGGAAACCGCCTTAGGTAGATATAGGAACCGTTATGCAAAAATAATTATATATATATAGACAATCGAACCGGGCATTAAAATACAGGGTATCTCATTTAAAATACATATAAAAAGTTGTATGTACTTTTCGGTATAAGCGGCACCCCCGCATTGCTGAAAATAATTTAGGCCGATAGAGCATATCCGATGACTTCGTTGTACAAATTTGCAGATAGATCGGGCACCGCATTCTCCTTAAACGTCTGATACGCCATCCACCGTGAATCACCCTGTATATAACACCATTAACACCCAAAAAGTTACTAATATATTATTTGTAATAAGTGTGAACCAACTTTAGAACATATTATCTCAATTTTCATTGATCAATTAATGGTAAATATTTCACAGCAAAAGGAAATATTTTTTAAATATTATATAAAAATATTTGTTTTTAATATTTAATTAGCATGAAACAAATAAATTAATAATAATTTTTCTTAGTACATAATACTTTTTGTACCTATATCAAACACCATTAACAGTTACTAATATATTATTTTTAATAAGTGTGAACAAACTTTTGAACATATTATCGCAATTTTCATTGGTCAATTAATGATAAATATTTCAAACAAAAATATTTGTATTTAATATTTAATGTATATCCACGGTGGATGGAAAAATTGGTTGAAAATAAATTTAGCGCGCCCGCAGCAGAAAAGTAATGGCACGTAAAGGTAAATCCTCTTTATGTTGTGTTTATTGAACCAGACTAACAAAATTTGTTGAAAATAAATAAAAATTTCGATTATTTCATATAACGGTATTACTTAATTGAATTAGAGTAATTCAAACAAATATGAAATTTTGAAGACAGCTAAGCCTATAAAGAATCAAATGTTTCCCAATTATGGGTTTGTTTTGAATTTTTAAAATAAAATATTAGAGAAATTTACAAAACACGGCACTAAAAAAATTATAAAAAATGATTCAAGTGAAAAGCAATTCGTTTAAGCACCAAGCAACCTAGCTTCACCTTAAAATAGTTCCACTACGCAACATAAACACCGTCCTGATACAACGTGTGTTTTGTGAAATCGCCTACACTTGACAATTGTAAATAACCACTAAGGAAGAAAACTCTATCAAAGTTTCAACCGAAAACAGCAAAAATCGACTATTAGTAAATAACCCATAATTTACTGAGTGCTTTTAAATATTAATTGCACTTTGAAACTTGTCCGGCCAGAAAGTTTTGCCTGGAAATATAGTTTAGTAGTTTTCTTACATCTCGAGAAAAAAGCATAGAACAGAATTTTAATTAATTCTAGTCAAATAACCAAACTTTTCATTGCGCTTATCCGAAAGTTTTAAAGTGTTAGAGAAATAAAAAACCACTTACTCAAGTCCATGTTCGGAGAAAGCTTCACTTATATCGGAGTCACTTCTGGGTAAGATCAATCGTGGCAAAATTGTAGCCTTTTTTCTTCGAGTTTTCAGTGTGGTTTGTTGGGAAAGGCTCATAAATTCCGGTGTTCTATGTGGGGAGTGAGGAGAAAGAATGGTCAGCCTCCTTTCACCAGGGCTAAGGCTAAGATAGCCTGCGGGAGGGGGCAAGCTGAGATGTTGAGGCACTCTCATTCTACCGGACCTAAAACCACGTATGCTTCATTAAAGACTAAGTGTGACATTAAAGCCTTAGGTGTTTTATAGCTGCCTTTCCTTTTAGTGAAAAAGTTTCTAATAAGCTTTGCGTAAATAAAGCCTTAAATAGAATACTCTGTTGAACAAAAGTTGCACTTACCATAACCCCCGCTTTTTCTCGGCACTAATCTCAGAGGAAGCGCTCAGAGACAAAGCAGCGCCCTCTCCACTAACTGCATGGCGTTTTAGTATCATTTCCCTATCAATATTTTCCAAGCTTCTAGCCTCTGTAGATTCAGAATACATTTTTCTCACATCTCTCTCGCTGGTGCTCAGAAAACTACGAGAAGCTGTCTTGAGGCTTTCCATGCTACGAGCAGTTTCTGTTCGCTGGCCAGTTGTTAAAAACTGTCCTTTAACGGGCAAATCAAATTCCTCTTGGCTAGAGCTGGAGTGTGGGGTGTTTAGGCGTGAGTATCTTGGGCTAACTCTGAAGCTCACACTGTCCGTTTCTGATTCTACCGAATCGCCACTAGCCTGTTGAGTGACTATTTGGCATTGAGGCACACAGCCTGATCCAATCTCAGAAGTCACAGTGGCAATTTTTTGGGAAGTGGCGCTGATAGCTGTGGTTTGAATCAAAGTGGTTTTGGTAAGAGTGGCGGTTGTAGTTCCCTCGTCTTCCAGTTGCTCAGCCACCAGAGTTGAAGCAGATGCGGTCCTAGATACATCTTGCTGAATTAAAGTGATCGTAGAAGAAGTTTTTCGAAGGTTGGTGCCTGTCGATGGATCTATGCTAGTTTCTTCCTCGTCCTCTTCCATTTTTGGAACCTTTGGTGGATTGATTCTGCTAATGTTGAGTTAATATCAGGAAAGCTGCTGCATGGGACGGACGATATTAGAGCTATGTTCAACCTGAAAGCAAATAGACAACTTTGAAGGCTTTGCTAGAAGAAATGAAAGCTTTCTATTTATTTTTAGAGACAAATGCAAAAAGTAAACAAGTTGGGATAATTGCGACTAAATGTGGAAAACCCGCTGTTAGAAGCTTTCCGAGTCATTGTGCCGAATATTTTACAACCGGCTAAGTTCGTTAGGTTGCTCTCGGCGGACGGATTTAGAGTTTTAAGATCCAGAACATTAGTTGCGGAAAGGTGAAATGATTGATGAGGGCCTAGTTCTGAATAAACTTTTCCAACTTTGCTTAGTTTAATACAGTGTGCTGTGACCCCTTAATGAAGGAGATATAATCAAAAATATTTTGTTTACAAAATCAATCAGGCATGGGCAGTGGCGTGGTCTATAACCAAGGGATTTTTGTGATGCAGTTTGATTAAACCGCGTGCTACGAAAATCAGATATGATTTGTTGTCTGTTTCAGGAGAAAACCTTCATCGCTTTTGCAGATTCTGACTGAAATAACAATGGTACTTCACATGTTATAGTTAGTTTTATTTTAGCTAAAACGCACACCAAATGTTGGGCAAGAAAGACCATAGAAGGACGAATATGTAGCTTGCTAAATATATTTCGAAATGCTCGCAACATTTGAAACCTAATTGAAGAGGAAAGTTTTGAACATGCACGAAAGATTGAGGGAACACGTTCGAGAGCCTAATCTGTTGATTGACTTTTGGAAACTCTGTTAATACTTGTTAAAATTTGTTTAATTGAAAAGCTTTAGACGTTCACATTTCCGAGATATATATATTTTCAATTAAAAGTTTTTAGTGTGCTACTTGGTTTTTCATATTTAAATTTAGAGTTTCATTTGCTTTTTCAGTAGATGTACATTTTTCAAAAAAATATGAAGTATTTGTTAATTTAAAATAGATAGTATGTGTCAGACCAAATTCCAGTGTTTCACTTTATATGGCACACAAAACTTTTTCTTATAAACCTACCACATTTTTTTGGTTATACACTTGCATATAAATGGTTCTAGTCGATTTATATGAAGTTTGTCCTCCGTTATGGAATCAGCTTCTTAATATTGCGTTTCATGTAAAGATTGTAGACCTTGAAATGTAATCGTAATGGCATGGTAGGTTTACTTAACATATTGCGTCTGCGTCTCATGTTCATTGTCTGCCTCTTATCCATTAAAATAAGTGCCACAATCGGGTGTTGAAACCGCGCGAAAGTTCAGTACAGTAAGCAATATCGAAAATACATCAATTTTATCCTGCTTAGGTGAGTTCTAAATTGACATCTGCAGATATTTGTAACATATTAGACTAACGTATTGTGTAAAATAACAAACTTGGCCATTTTGGATAAAGGCAAGTTGTTTAGAGATGAAGATAGCTACTTGATATTAACGATAAAAAAGTCGTTTGTAGGTGGAAATTAAAACCATTGTCGCTGATTTAGAAAAATTATGGCATTTTATGGTTTTGACGTTATTTTTATTATATTTTTTTCAGTGGTTCCTAAATAGCTCCAGACAATACCTTCACGGAGAATATATTCCCATTTTAAGTTATCTTGTAGATCAGGTCTATATTCCAAACATATTTTTGTTTTGATATAGAATATTATAATTAGAATGGAGAGTAATGGATGCAAGATTCGCGTTCCTCGAAAACTATAAATACGACTCGTACTTTAAACAGTTTGCAGCATCGGAAAATAATGTAGACAATACAAGATAAACCCCTGCGAATGTCATTATATGGGTCTGGTTAGCTTGAAGCAGGAACGTTTTCGTAGTGCCTGCCGAACATTTTAGAGACAGTGTTAGAAGGTAAAATATCCGGGAAAAATTAACAGTGCATAATGGCAAGTTTCAGGTGATAAAAGTAACGTTTTACTATAAAGTACGGCACTACTAAACGGATTTTCAATCAGCAACTAGAACTAAAACGTAATAGTCTCATATCATGTTAGGTTGCTGTGTATTATTAAGAAATTAAAATTCTTTTATCCAAGTTCTAAAAGTAACTAATAAAGGTGCAACTACTTTAAACTAAAATCTGTTACACCGGCTGCTTCTATTTACGTACAATTATGTTGACAATAAGCTAGTATACCCTGTGCAAAATAAGTTTTATCAATGAGAATCAATTTACATCAGTAAATTTGTGGGAACCTTCACATATAGATTATTAACTCACATACACCAGTTTGATTGCCAATGTTATACATAATTTGATTTTATGTCCCTTCGGACCACAATGAATATAATACTTGGGAATTAACCTATTTTGGGGTTCGGAACTTTGAGTCAATGAAGTTGTTAATAGTTCGGAAGGTCTAGCTTTGGACTATATTAAATTTCTTGGGGCAATCAAAAGTAAAAGTCGCAAATTATGAAGAAATTTTGATAAGATTTAGGATCTAAATGTTTTGAAAGTATTCTTTTTGTCGTGCAATTCCCATTAACCTTACGTTATACGATAGTTCTTATATTTTATTGTCAATGCTTGACAAAATGAAAATGGGAACAAATTGTTCCTGTCCACATAAAAAGTAGATCGGTCTACTAACATGAAAAAAATGAGTGTTAACAAAACTTATTTGAGGTGCAACGCCAAATGTACATTACTGCGGATTAATGGAAAAGTGAAGTGGTCCTTGCACCCAAATGATCAATTATTTTAGACTTAGAATGGCTAATTCAATACTTCATCATTTATGTGCAGTTAATTCAATCTAAGACTGCATAATTTTACTAATAAGATATAAAGCACGTCCTATGTATTAAATACTGACATTTTCTATTTGCTTATTTTCAAAAGTACTTTTATGCATATATTCTACAAGTCCCGATAGGGATGTCATGCCATGGCGCAAATTTTTTAATAAAACAATTAAATATTATTCCTCCTGACATTAGGCAAAATTATATCCACCTTCCTCTGGCCATGAACTCCCTCAGGTATGCTTCTTTTCCTGATCAAAATCCACCCAAGACTTTTTTGCTGCGGAGCATTATTAAAATAAAGTTAAGGGCAAAAGAATATGTTTTATTCAGCTGCCCGGGGATACTCGAAGACACATAATGTAATATAATCATGCCGAGAAAAACATGGATGGAGTCAGCTTGTCATATGCTAGCGTTCAATTTTAAATATTTACAAGTATTGTGATAAAGCTTTGACGCAATTAAACATTATAATAGCAATTATTACTTTTTTAAAACTCTGGCAAAACTACTGGAAACTATTATTGAATTAGTGGAAAAATTTCCATGAAAAGAGCGATATTAAATACCCAGGACGCTTAGAAACGCCTTAGCGTAAAGTGAACTAATATTAGATACAAAATATACGAATACTAAAACCCCATGTCCCAACGATCAAATCTGAGATCTACAGTAGGGTAGCATAATGAACTTTATACCTATGAATACCAGAAATCATTTCGGAAAACATTCAATATGTAGTAGGCGGGGGTAACACTGTGTTGAGTTGCGCCATAGAGTTGTTGTCGCTCTCTGAGTTACCGAGTTATAACTCATCGGTTACTGAGTTGTAAGTGATTTATTATTAAAGCTTTACGAGACTCTAGACTGGAATTTTCACATCTAAGAAAAAGGTCATCAACATTTTTTCTGAGTGACGTTTTACTACTTTGTTCAAACAACTAAAAAAAATCATCTAGATTTTACCTTTTTTTTAACCTATTTAATTAATTAATAATTTTAACCTTTACCTATTTTTTAAATTCAAGGAAAATCTAATCCTGAAATGTCAATCAATATTATACCCTCTATGCAAAGAATTTCAAGTATTTTTTTAAATTTTAAGTTAGTAATTAGTAATTTGGAAAAGCTAAACGGGTGTGTTGCCATTTAATATATTTGTCTAAGTTTCAACTGTTTGCGTATAAATATGTAACACCGTTTCAGTCCGCTATTTATATTTACACAACTGTATTTGCAATTGTAATTTGAAATTCAGAAATAAACCAAACTAAACTAGCGTTTAGCTACACGCAAATTTCGCGAGTTTAGTAATTAACTTGATAAACAGCAGAATGTAGTAAAATTCGTATCCAATAATTATAATAGTTTATAATTCCAAAACGATATTTTTAATTAAACATGTACTAAAAATATCCGCACGGTAACAAATTAAGTTTCCATTATTGTTTCTGCTCGACTGCTACAGAACAAAATCATGACGAGTAGAAACCTTACCGACATTGTGTGCGAACTGTTTCCAGTTAACCAACCATAAACGTATATTTAAAACTTACGTTTCTGGCACGTATCCATTATTTAATTTTATTTTTTTTTATTTTTCTTTGCTGAACATTATTACAATCGTTTTCTAAAATCTAAAAATCATGGAAATGCAACTCAGTGAACATTTAGTTTCAGGCAACTATTTACGACATTATGCACGGCGCTAAAGGACGAATGGGAAGTTTTTTAATGGGATAACATGTTTGAATAATCCCAACAAGGGTCCGGAGAGCCCTGCTTTCTAAATATGTAGATTTAAAATATCCAACAAAATTAACAAAATAAATGGTAAGCTATAGTTTATCCATAGCATACAATCTAGTAGATCTGCACAATATTTTAGAGGACATTTTCAAAAATACTACTTTAGGTTTACATTTCAAAGCTAAATTGATAAAGTGAGTAAAAAAAACTTGAAAAAGACTACTTTTTTCTTATCGCAGTGATTATAAAACAAAGATTTTGCTTATCCATGTTTATGAGAACTTTTTGATTTACCTGGAGTCAGAGAATTTTCCTTTAAAATATTGGACATTCCTCCCGAAATACTATGCAGATTAACATTAAAGAAAAAATGAAATTGACACGCTGTGTTGACAAATTGTATAAAGATTAATTATTATTTTATTTAATTTCCTGGGCTCCAGTCACAGTGTAAAACAAAATTTTTTGTATATCGTTTATTCCGTTTTCTGTATATCGTTTATTTTATCTTGAAACCTTC